ACACGAGAATGAACCCCATTGGTTCTTGCGGAAGATCAAACGTGCTGTGTAACATGAGAATGAACCTCATTGGTTCTTGCTGAAGCTCAAACGTGCTGCGTAACACGAGAATGAATCTCATTGGTTCTTGCTGAAGCTCAAACGTGCTGTGTAACATGAGAATTAACCCCATTGGTTCTTGCTGAAGCTCAAACGTGCTGCGTAACACGAGAATGAATCTCATTGGTTCTTGCGGAAGATCAAATGTGCTGCGTAACACGAGAATGAACCTCATTGGTTCTTGCGGAAGATCAAATGTGCTGCGTAACACGAGAATGAATCTCATTGGTTCTTGCGGAAGATCAAATGTGCTGCGTAACACGAGAATGAATCTCATTGGTTCTTGCAGAAGATCAAACATGCTGTGTAACACGAGAATGAACCACATTGGTTCTTGCGGAAGATCAAACGTGCTGCGTAACACAAGAATGAACCTCATTGGTTCCTGCTGAAGATCAAACGTGCTGTGTAACACGAGAATGAACCTCATTGGTTCTTGCGGAAGATCAAACATGCTGTGTAACACGAGAATGAACCACATTGGTTCTTGCGGAAGATCAAACGTGCTGCGTAACACAAGAATGAACCTCATTGGTTCCTGCTGAAGATCAAACGTGCTGTGTAACACGAGAATGAACCTCATTGGTTCTTGCGGAAGATCAAACGTGCTGTGTAACACGAGAATGAACCACATTGGTTCCTGCTGAAGATCAAACGTGCTGTGTAACACGAGAATGAACCTCATTGGTTCTTGCGGAAGATCAAACATGCTGTGTAACACGAGAATGAATCTCATTGGTTCTTGCGGAAGATCAAATGTGCTGCGTAACACGAGAATGAATCTCATTGGTTCTTGCAGAAGATCAAACATGCTGTGTAACACGAGAATGAACCTCATTGGTTCTTGCGGAAGATCAAATGTGCTGCGTAACACGAGAATGAATCTCATTGGTTCTTGCGGAAGATCAAATGTGCTGCGTAACACGAGAATGAATCTCATTGGTTCTTGCAGAAGATCAAACATGCTGTGTAACACGAGAATGAACCACATTGGTTCTTGCGGAACATCAAACGTGCTGCGTAACACAAGAATGAACCTCATTGGTTCCTGCTGAAGATCAAACGTGCTGCGTAACACGAGAATGAACCTCATTGGTTCTTGCTGAAGCTCAAACGTGCTGTGTAACACGAGAATGAACCTCATTGGTTCTTGCGGAAGATCAAACGTGCTGTGTAACACGAGAATGAACCACATTGGTTCCTGCTGAAGATCAAACGTGCTGTGTAACACGAGAATGAACCTCATTGGTTCTTGCGGAAGATCAAACGTGCTGCGTAACATGAGAATGAACCCCATTGGTTCTTGCGGAAGATCAATCGTGCTGTGTAACACGAGAATGAACCTCATTGGTTCTTGCGGAAGATCAATCGTGCTGTGTAACACGAGAATGAACCTCATTGGTTCTCGCTGAAGATCAATCGTGCTGTGTAACACAAGAATGAACCTCATTGGTTCCTGCTGAAGCTCAATCGTGCTGTGTAACACAAGAATGAACCTCATTGGTTCCTGCTGAAGCTCAGTCGTGCTGTATAACACGAGAATGAACCTCATTGGTTCTTGCGGAAGATCAATCGTGCTGCGTAACACGAGAATGAACCTCATTGGTTCTCGCACATCAAGTGAACATGCTTGCGCTTCCGTTTACCACAACTGATATGTGAGTTGATCAATGTTTTATATGTGAATAAAAGACTAAATTCAATATGTTCATCATATAAAGTGATCAAGTCTCTTCAGAAAATTTGGCTAACCGCTCAATTCATGTGGATTGGTTAAGATCTATTTATGAACTTTTTGAAACATCAAAGTGGTAGTTGCGTAGCTGTCAATGGAGGGACAGAAAGCTCTCAGATTTCATCAAAAAGATCTTCATTTGTGTTTTGAAGATGAACTTGTCAAAGTTCCAAACAGTGGCCAGCCCTGTCTTGTTCATTCTTGTCTTACGGGTTTGAAACAACATGAGGGTGAGTAATTTTCATTTCCATTTTTGGGTGAACTAACCCTTTAATAAATATAAGTGAATATCAGTAATATTTGACGACACACATAAATTTTTCCCCTTTATAAACAGCATATTTCAAAAGGAATGATATTGCAATGATACACTTTCATCAAAACTAATAGCAGAGCTGTAATCGTACGTGATCACAGGTATTATGAAAATAACTTTGCCCAGACAACAAATGCAGACTAACTGCAGTCTATTTACATGACGCATATTGCTGCATAGGATGCCGAGAGACGTCTTTTATTCATAGCTCAGATATCATAACAACAACCCACACACCCCATATATTAATGTATCAAATGCTTGCCTAAAAACGCACGGGGCACTTTTCATCAAATATCGCAAATACATCCAAATGCTCAAAACAATGCGGAACAGAGGGAGAGCGGAAAAAGTAAACGCTGGTGCGGAGGGAAATAGAGAGAGGTTGCCGTCAAAGCAGTAATTTGCATCATTTTACACATTACATTCACCTCTGTGTATGAGACGCAGCCAAACAGTGGCCAGCCCTGTCTTACATATTCAGATTCGTTGCCTCAATTAAGTGAACCTCAGTGCAAGATGAACTGGCATAAATGTTTATGGAAATGGAATATTAGATTGGAGGGTCAGTGCATTCACAGCTCTCTGTGGTAATAGTGTCTTGAAATCAGACTCGTCACTGTCAGAAGTGGTCCAGCGGATAGTGCATTCCCATGGCAAGCAAGTTATGTAAAAGAATAGCCCTATTTACCCAGCAAAACATGTATTTATTATTGAGCTCATCATGACTAAAATTTAGCTTTAGCGTTCAATGTTCAAAAAAAGAGAACGGCCTCCCATATTTTCAATTTGAACAGAGAAAGGGAGATGGAAAATTGGACACAATATGTTTGTTTGTTAGTTTATTCATTTTTGCAGACAGTTTAGTATTTAAATTTACATAAATTCTAAAAAGCATTTTTTAAGCATAATTATTTGAATAATGCGTTTTATGTCGAACTCTCTAAAGCATTTTTTCTAGCTTCAGTTTATACACCAGGACTTGACAACTTCATCAGTAGATTTTTTTTTATATACTTTTATTTAGATAGTATGCATTTAATTGATCAAATGTAACAGTTAAACTTGTATAATGTTACAAAGGATTTCCGTTTCGAATAAACTATTTTTATAAGGAATTCTGAAAAAAAGTATCATGATTTCCACAAAAATATGAAGCAGCACAACTCAACATTGATAATAATCCGAAATGTTTCTTGAGCATCAAATCAGCATATTAGAATGATTTCTGAAGGATCATGTGACACATAAATTTCATTTTAAAATACACTCAAATAGATTATTAAAATGGTAATAATATTTTACTATATTATACTGTTTTTACTTGAAGTTTGTTTAAATGCAGCTTATACCTAATGGTGATGTATGTAAGGAATAATGAACAGTCAGTGGATTTATTATGCAGCTGCATGAAATGTTGATTTGAGTCAAAGTTATTTTATAATGTAAAAATGAAATCTACCAAAATGATATTGTCAGCATTAAAAAAATGCCCATGGGAAGTCGTAGCATTCCAGAGAATCATGCAATAAATATTAAAATATGCTATAACAAATAATGCGCTACGCTAAAACATGTCTGATGCTCAACATGTGTGTGTGTGTGTTTTGAATGTGCTGCCATATGCTCTGTCTATGCAACACAAATACCACGTATTTATGTCGATAATGCAAATTGTGCTCAGTCCATCGTAAATGGCCATTTTGAACAAGATAATGATTTCTGTTGTATTGTTGTGCTGTGCAAAATTGCTGCCTAAATAGACCGTTTGAAAAAGAATTCAGCCGCCAGTATCGGTTTCAGAAAGGTTTTTCATGGGTTTATGCCAGTAATGTCCCTTGACCTCGGGACTGAATACATCTATGTGGCACTTTTTGTATCTGTCAACTGTAACTTTGATGCTCTACTATTCATAAGTTTGAGCCAAAGGTGATTTATCTAACCTATTTGTTCATGACTCTTATCATAGCATCTGCATGCATGCATCAATCGAATTTCTGAAATGTTGTGCCTTGTACAGAAATGTTCTGGAAACAAAAGAGCTAAGCTGAATTATGTGAGAGCCAACCTAATTGAGTACAACTACGTCTTTACAGCTCCTTTGGTCAGTGTCAAGGTTGAGCGTACGTGACTGAATTTGCTGCCGGGTCGGCGGGCCACGTGTGAATACACATACAACCGCTGTTTTATCTTTTCATCCGAATCCATCAAAGGAAAACTAGATATTCTTACTCTTGCTCCCTGAATCCTTTAAAGTACATCAATGTGAAAACAAAATCAATGATATGGATATATGAAGACACGGAGGGCGAGGATGAGGGTGAAGATGAAGACGTCATTGTCGAGGTCTGAATGGATGCCCTGTGCTGATGTAAATGAAGAAGGAAGGCTGTATGAAAAGTAGCGCGAGCTTTTGCATATGCATCAATGCAGATCAAAGGCTTGTCAGGGGTCATGCATTTACATAGATATCAGTGATGCTATGGGAACCCAGGAACCCGGCAACCCGGCGCTCAGTCCACTTGTGAATAGAGAGCCTTGACCGGGTCCTTCAGTGCCATTAGAAAAGAAGTCAAGGAAGTTTATTTGGCCGATCACCCCATCTGAGAACAGGCTTAGAGGGGAAATGATGTTCTTCAGGGTTTGGTTAGTACCTTGCAAAGAAAAGACGATGTTGTGTAAGAAATGATGGCTTCCGGGAGCGTGTTGTGGCTGAACTGATGTTGAGCAACTGATTGAATGAGATGGTTTTTACAATTTTTTCATTTTGTTAGATAAAATGTTGTTCATAATTACAAACAAGTAAGAAAATGTGTAGTCTCACAATCTCTTGTTTTTCATTTCTCACAGGAAGAGTGCCAAAAGTAAAGCTTTCTCTGCTGTCCAGTCAAAGGGTAAGACCACTGTACAAATGACTCAAATATGTTTAAAAAACTATATTTATCCTTTATATTTATGCTTATGTTCCACAATCAGATTTACTTATTTACTACACTACTTATATTTTATGTATACACTACCAGGCAAAAATGTATGTTTTTTAAAGAAGTCTCTCATACTTATTACCAAGGCTGCATTTATTCAATCAAAACTACAGTAAAAACTGCAGTGTTGTGAAATATTATTACATTTTTAAAAAACTGTTTTCAATATATTTTAATATATAATGTTATTCCTGTGATCAAATCTGAATTTTCAGCATCAATACTCCAGTCTTCAGTGTCACACGATCCTTCAGAAATCATTCTAATATGCTCAGTTATCAATTATTTTCAGTGCTCAGTTTTTAATAGTTTTATTAATGTTTGCTTAATATTTGTGTGGAAACCATGATACATGTTTTCAGGGTTCTTTGGTGAATATAAAGAACTAAAGAACAGCATTTATTATGTTTACTAGTTTAGCATATTATGTTCAATCTTTTGAAACATTATAAATGTCTTTACTGTCACTTTTGTTCAATTGAATGCATCCTTGCTGATATTTTTTAATCTTCCTTACCCCAAAACTTTTGAATGCTAGTGTATCATGATTTCCAAAAAAAAAAAAAAAAAAAACATTTATTAAGCAGCAAAACATTGATAATAATCAGACATGTTTCTTGAGCAGCAAATCATTATATTAGAGTGATTTCTGAAGGATCATGTGACACTGGAGTAATGATGCTGAAAATCGAGCTTTGATCACAGGAGAAAACATTAAATTATTAAAAAAAAACATAATATAATATTATTTCACAATATTTATGTTATTACTGGGCGCATAAGAGACTCATTTCAAAGACATTAAAAAAAATCGTTATTCCTAAATTTGGCCAGTATGTCTGGTTACAATGTGCGTTTAGTTTTTTAGTTTTTGTTGTTTTTTTGTACCAGTGTCTCTGGAATTATTTACTTTGTTGCGGATCACGCTCCAGCGCAAATTCATTACTTCCTCTTTACTGCAACAGAATGTTAATGGTGTGCGTACATATTTTTGATTGCAGCATTTTGGGGAGAATCCGACGACAGCAATTCTGAGATCGAAATGGCCTTGCGTCCTCAGTCCCGCAACACCAGCAGCCATGACTTTGATGATTTTTATGATTGAGGTTTCTTTTTTCCAGAGTTCACGCTGTCACATTTTTTTCCCCCAATGAGCAGTTAATATGTTTGAAAGAGATGCCTTTACGCGATCGCAAAACAAACAGAAATCTTCACCGAGGAATGAGTGCGACATTCCGCGAAAACAAAAAAGAGCCATCCACTTTATTGTGGCCAAAGACTGTGAAGGGTTTTCAAAACATGTTGGTGTTAACCCTGCTTGAGTCTCTTTAGCTGAACAACACTTGGACCTGGTTGAAATAGATTAAACTTGGTTTTTAAAGTGATTCCTTTGCACTGTGTTGAATATTACGCAGTTTAGATGCTGCAGGTATCTGGCGTTGAGTTGGAGTGGAATGCTCTGAGTCAACTCCTATGAAAAGCCAGTGCACAATGGCCACTCTGCATGCTGCTAAAACACCTTTGAACTCACTGAAGTACCCATGGCCCATTTAGGAGGACAAAATGCGTTGTGCTCATCTCAATATAGAAACAAACGCTCTCTGTATTTGCGCTGGTAGATAGGCGTTTTCGTCAGCTGAACGCGACAGCGTCTCCCCGACTCTTTCACGCCGACGACATGCGGCCACTTCGAAATTCGACTGGTTTTAAAATGTGCTATTATTCATTTTCACACTTTATTCTCTGGTTGCTTTTTAAGCATGTTGCATCACAGGCATAGACGGTGACGTGCTTGCTCCGATTAATTGTTAAAAGTTGTTCCCTCTAATGCTTATTTTTAGACTCAAAATGATAGTTAAAATTACGGATAATTATGATTAGGCATTGAAAAGAGCACCGATCAAACGCAGCAATAGCATTACAGTAATAACGGTTATTTTTCCAAAAACAGCCCATCAGTGAGAACGACTGTAACCCTTTTTCTAATGGACCTGAAAATAACATTACAAACTAAAATTGCAGTGCGTGGATTTCCAGATCTGTTTCCCCAGCCATCAGTGATCTACATCGCCAGTGACGGGGAATTGTCAATTTTGCCTGTGACTCCCAGGTTCATTAGGTTTCATCATTGTGCTGGTATATTTAACATGCACACAGGCATGTTATCCTGTAATGATACAAAACCTGCAGCATTCTATCCATCAGTATGATTCCATTAGTTAGCTTTTAAGTAACTTTATGAGGCCGAACCTGCTAGAGTAGGACTCCACTCTCATTAGCCGTAATGGCTCCAGCCAGCCTTGACCCGCACGCGTCAGAACGCGCCTGCATAATTTGGGGATTGCTAAAAAGCTCCCCTCACATAATATCTGTGTTAAGGATCATGTCAACAGATACTTGTGTGATGGAGGAAGCCGTGCGAGAGAGTTACATTGTGCCGGCCCGTAACAACGCGATAAACGCTTTTTCAAGGAACTGTCTTCCCATGGACTGGGCAATGGAACAAAATCATAATAAAACCACAAACGCAAAATGTCACATCAAAACGGAGAGAGTGTTTTGTTTCAAAATAGACCATGCCCAAAATGTGTGTACTAAGCCACTTTATAAACATGCATGAAGCTGTCCCGGCAGGGAAGGTCATTAAAGCATTCAGATTCCGAGACTTTCTCAGTTGAAATGATCTGTCTGAATCTAATGCCGTATCGTGCCCTATTTCAAGGCTCAGTTTGGAAAATCCATTCATTTAACGAATAAAAGGAGTCAAGTCTACATGTTTGAGTCTTTATTTGATTAAGAAAGCCTGTCTTATTATCTAGCTATTGTCAGTGTGTGTGACAATGTCACTCGTACCCCACAAAACTGCCTTCTTTGGCAGAATGATGAAATATATCATATATTTTACTATTATTAATAATTGTATTATTATTAATTGCAAAAATAATTGTTGACACTTTATTTTAGTGTTCCTGTTACATGTACTTACTGTAGTAATATCAGTAAATTATGAATAATTGCATGCAACTAATTCTATACTAAGTACTTGTTAATTCATATTTCTCAGTACTTAAATGTATAATTACAGTGCATGTAGCAAGAACACCTTAAAATACAGTGTAACCTATAATCTTAGTCTTATTAATTAGCTGAAAATTATTTATTTTTTTTAAAACATTTTGTTTTGTACGGAAGCGTATTGCATTCACTTGAGGAAAAAAAATCTACTATGTTTTTCTGAATTAACGAGTTAATTATCACAGAATTACGAGATATATTTTCATGGAAAAAAGTTTTGCTCTGTTTTTCTGAATTAATGACTTAATTATCTCAAAATTAGGAGTAACTCATTAATTCATAAAAACAGAGTGAAAAAAAAATTTTTCCATGAAAAATTATCTTGTAATTCTGAGATATTTAACTTGTTAATTCAGAAAAACAGTAGATTTTTTTTCCTCAAGTGACTGCAATACGCTTCCGTAGTTTTGTATGTGTGTGTATTTATACTTTGCTGAACTCCTTCTTTTATCACATTATTTTAGCTATAAATGTTAACATGATTTTTGTTCAAGGTCTCAGTTATCATGCAGTTCCGCTAATTTAACATTTTAAACTGTCAGCGTGTTTAACTGGAGCCTTTTTAAGTGGCTAAATTGCTAGCATCACTAGGCGCCTAAGCTAAACTTGTATTCTGCTGATAAACAATATATTATGCAGCAAAGGCCAGACATGTCTGTTTTTGTTTCTGGAACAATCTCAGACAATAAAAGAAAGGAAGACCTAGATGAAAGCGAGTAGGGAAGTTAAACACTCTCATTAACAATGATATGCCGGCATTGTGCTATTTGCATATTGCATGTTTGAGTAATTTATTCACGCTTATTCGACAAGTTGAAGTTTCAAGTGTGTCCCTTCCACTCTCCCCCTATCCACTTTTATTTTTATCAGGGAATAATGATTTAAAACAAGGTCATTTGATCTTCTGTTTCAATAGACCTTAATGAAATATTCATTTACTCGCCTGTGGTTTCTCTGACAGTGTTTCTGAGGATGTTCAGCGAAGACACAAAGGCCACGCTTTTCATCATTCAAACCCACGTTTCACGTTTTGATTCATACAGATATTGATAATTAGACCTTATTTTACTTAGAAACCTACAGTTTACCTAACAAGAGGGTGTCCAAGCGGTTGAGGGAATTTGGGCTGCGCATAATATTGAATCTTTTTCTTAGGATTGTAAAGACTAAATGTACCATAGTGTGTTGTGTGTTCTAATACATCTAATACATGAACAATCATTAGTGCAATATGAATCTCAATGAATTCACTTTCCATCTGACTGCAGTTAGATTTCTTGGACCATGTTGCATATCGTGGCATGTTTTTGCAGAGAAAATATCAATCTATCAGCCTGTCTGTACTGAGCCTGCATTTCCCAAAGTACAGGTCATTTTATGCAGTTCATTGAGCAAACGTTTTCATAAAAAGTGGCATACAACGCATTCAAGGTGTATATTTTTCATTATCCCTAGCTGTTTCCAAGTCTGCATGACCTTGGCAATAGACATAGTATACATTTTGAGCATTCCAAAAACTATTTATTTGTATTTTAAAGTGTTTTTAATCACTTTGGAACTATTTTCGCAAGACTAGCATTTCGACACTGATCCACACTGATCACACTTGAAACAACTTGACGTTCATTTAAAACCTGCTGTTTTTTGGGGTTGTACGTTTCCTTTCACAATACAAGAGACATGTTTCAAATTGCCCAGTGCTGTAATGTACAGTCATCATGGCTTAAACAGTTACATTACATAAGCAAATTGACACATTCCATGATAAATAAAGACACCGGCATCGTTAAAAAATAAAATAATAATGTTTAAAATAATGCAATGGACAGCACAGCCTGCAGCCTACATGTTATCTTGATCAAATGTTCTTCCAGTATAACTGAATTGGTACTGTATCTGACCTTTTGACCTTTGGGTGAGGTATAGAGCTGCCATAAAGCCAAAACAATCTGTTACTTTAATTTCCTATTATCACTGTAAAGCCGCTTTGGAACAATCTACATTGTTAAAAGCGCTATATAAATGAAGATGACTTGACTTGGCTATAGTAATTTGGCAGACTTTGCTTATTATGTAGCATACTGTGAAATACGCTGATTTCACGCAGCCGCCATTTTGAAATGGCTCCGGTGGGAAGAAAACCGGAAGTGTCGCCTTTAATCATAGGAGAGTCGCGAATGCGATGGCGTATTGTTGTGTTTAATGTAGAAATTAGTTATTCTAAAAATGTACATACATTTCTTTCATACTTTAGACTATATACAGTGAAATTCATTTATAGTTAAAAGAATTTTTTTATATATAATTCAGAACGTAAAAAAAGAAGCAGGAACGAACTATATACATACCCTATTTTGGATATTACCATCCAATAGTGTAAATCGTGGCAGCAGCTTCAGGTTGGTAGTCCAAGGCATTGTTGTCTATCTGTACTTCCGGGGTTCTTCCCACCGGAGCCTCGCTTTCGATTTCAAAATGGCGGCTGCATGAAATCAGCGTATTATGACTCAGTCTTCCTATCATATTCTACCTTGTAATGCATACACACAAACAAAGACACTTTGAATGTATATTTTAAAGTCCAATATATTTTAATGGTTATTAATATTGTAATACCATAACAAGTATTTATTATGGTTGATTACACTTCTTTTTGAACATGAAATTTAAAGCAATCAAACCAGTTTAAAATGTATAGCTCTACCAAACAATTTGTTGATCGACATTTAAAATCAGATTAAATGATAATCAATCAATTAAAATGAATGTGAACATTATGAAAAATACATTAAAAGCAACAGCTTTAAATGAAAGTTATGTATAGATCGAACACTATAGTAGAGTAAAAGTTGAAAAAAAAATGAGGGTCCATGGCCTTTCTCACCAACTTGTTGGTAACCAAAAGGAAAATGGGTTACTTTATTTCGATAGTCACTTTAGACATTCTACTAACTATAAGTAACTTTTCAACAACATGTCAACTAACTGTCATTAGAGTATCAGTAGACTGTCAGTAGACTGGTAGGTTATGGTTAGGTGTTAGGGTTCGGGTTAGAAGAACAAGTTGACTTGTAGTTGCTAAGTTACTTATAGTTAGTAGAGTGTCTGTTGGGGGACCAACAAAATAAAGTGTTTGCAGATATTAAGCAGACAGTCTACTAATACTCTACTGACAGTTAGTTGACATGTAGCTGCTAAGTTACTTATAGTTAGTATAATGTCTAAAGTGGACTTTGGAAATAAAGTGTTACCGGAAAATGCCTTACTGGCTCCACACTATGAGCAAAAACATTCATACGAGGCACCTGTA